TGGAGTTGTGTTTTTCACTGACAATGTCATGTTGACCGAATATTTCTGCTTAGACTAATGATAATTCAGGCTTGCATTTTTATGTCTTGAAGTTTTATATGACTAGTAACTCATCTTTATCAGATTTTATTATCTTTTATACCAGGTTGAAATAATTGTTCCTTCACTATAGAAAGTTTAAGAATTGCATCACTTCTTGGACTTTTGGCTAAGACCAAGTGTAGAATTGTATAAAGTATACAAAGAGAAACATGAATGCCTTCTTCCCACCCACCTCCATTCCAGAGTATTGATTTTGTTGTTCTGAAGATTGAGCCCAGGCCCCTTGCTACTCTTGTTTGTGCTTGTTCTTACTAACAAGCTACACTTCTGTTCCTATTCGGTGTATAATTTAATTTTGCTTAAAGGGGGTCATTACATACCCATCACACTAGAACTTCATTTCACTACTTACTTTTATACATGTGTATGCTTGTCCGAATTTATATATACATGTGTGCAGAAGAATACAGTGACCAGAAGAGGGCATCAGATCTCCTGGAATGAGTTATGGATGGCTATGATCCACCAATGTGGGCTCTGGAAATCGAACACAGGTCCTCTGTGAGAGTAGTAAGCACTATTGAATTGCTGAGACATTTCTCCAGCCACTGAGACTTCCTTTTGTTCACTTAATAATGTATGTCAGAGGTTCTTCAAACCTTCTTTTACAAAGCCTTCCCCATCTGTCACATTTTGGAATCATGTGTAGTGAAATATGCCTTTGATTTCAGCATGTGGAAGGTTAAGACAGGCAGATCTTGAGTTAGGGACTAGACTAGTCTATACAGGATGACCCTTTCCCCAAAACACAAAACTAATTTATCACATTTTTAGTTTGTATAGTGTCTTAGTTAGGGTTACTACTATCACTTAATAAAACACCATAATTAAAAGCAACTTGGGGAGGAAAGGCTTATACTTCCACATCACAGTCCATCAATGAAGGAAGTCAGGACAAGAACTCAAAACACAGCAGGAACCTGGAGGCAGGAGCTGATGCAGAGACCATGGTGGGATGCTGCTTACTGGCTTGCTCAGTCTTTCTTATAGAAGCCAGGCTGTCATCACCCACAATGGGCAGGACTGTCCCCTCTCAATCACTGATTTTAAAAAATGCCTACAGGTTTGCCTAAAGTCTCCTCTTCCTCTTTTTTTTTTTTTTTTTTGGTTTTTTGTTTATTTTTCAGTAGTTTTGTGACTTATTGAGGAGCAAGTATTTATCACATATTGAACCAACTCTTCCTGTTGGAGGAATGAAGGTACCAGGAATACACCCCCCCCCATCCCCCAAGACAGGGACTCATCTGTAGACTCATCTGTAGACTCATCTTGGCCTGCAAACTCAAGAGATACAGACTTCCTCTGCCTCTGCCTCTGCCTCTGCCTCCAGAGTGCTGGGATTAAAGGCGTGGGCTACCACCACTCCAGGCTAGGAACTAAGAATGTTAAACACAGGGGTTTTTCCTTCAAAGGAAGAGATGCATTACCCGTTAACCACCCCAGACAGTTGGGAGCAGATGCGATTTATAACCTGAGGACCTTTTCAGATGTGTGGCCAAAGACCACAGCAGATCCTCCTTCAGACCCTTATCATGAATGTGTCAATGTATAGAATCTATCATTACGGAAGATGTCACATGTTTGGCAAATCTAATTGGTCTTAATAATAAAAACCCAGAGTCAGACATTAGGGGGTAAAAGTTGAAAGATCAGAGAAGTAAAGCATCCAGCCACTAAAATTCTTACCTCTATGAAATCCTCAGACCAAAAAAGGGCTTCACATCTGTCTCTGCCTCATATTCCTCTCTCCACCTCCCTAGTGCTAGGATTAAAGGTGTGAGCTTTGTTTCTATTTTAGACTGATTAAATCTCATGTAGCCCAACGTGGCCTTGAACTCCTGATTTTCCTGCTGCCTGGCCTCTACGGTTAACTAGTGGCTAGCTCAACTCCTGATCTGCAGGCAAGCTTTGTTAGAGCAAAAAACAAGTATCAACACAGTCACATGTACTTTACAATAAAGTTTCCATGAAATCACATCTCAAGTTTTATTGTTTACATGGGACTGAGTTAATTATCACCAGGCAAATTTTCACCAAATTGTGGTGTGCCTAAAATGCACCTAAATTGGTGATGCAGCTATCTTTGAGTCATTTCTGCTCCTGTAAAAACAAAACAAAACCTCACCTATATTCCTTTAACATCAATAAAACTCATTGGTTCACCAAGTTGGACTTTAGTGGTATCCATACTTTGGTCTGTGGTGGGTTCCCTATCTGGGGTAAGTAGATGCTGGGTGGTGTCTCACCAGGAAAATTTTGTTGAACAACACACCTCTTCCCTGGATGTGTCTCTCCTGTGTTTACACAAAAGATGTGGATATGAAATGCCTGCCACAGATCTGTGTTGAGGATCATCTCCTTAGGTAGTGGCACTGAGAGGTGATTTAATTACAAAGGCACACACTTCATAAATGAATTAATCCACTGAAGAGATCATAGCTGGACAAGCAATTAGGACTTGGGGAATAAAGTCCCAGGATATACTGCCTCTCTTTCCTCCTTTCCCCTTTGTTGGTGGTGGGAATTGCTTATACCAAGTGCTAAAACCACAAACTTCTGTGTGGACAAAGGCCCACAGGGTATAGGGCCATGTGACTGTAACCTGAAACCTCCAATACCATAAACTAAAGCCTCACTGTGAATTTTCTCTGCAATCTGTCAGTGACAAAAAACACAATCAAACAAACAAACAAAAAAAAAAAACTATCAGAATTGTTTTAGTTCAGAGACAGGTAGATCTCTGTGAGTTCGAGGCCAGCCTGGTGTACAGAGTGAGTTCCAGCCAGGTCTACACAGAGAAACCCTGTCTAGAAAAGACAAAACAAAAAGCCATCAGAATCATGGATTTATGAGGTTTTTGTTTCATTGAATGCTGGGATTAAAGGCCCATGTCACCATTTAAAGTTTTGTTTTTTAAGGGGTTTGTTTTGAGAATTGTATTATGTAGTTCTGACTGGCTTAGAACTCCAAAAATAGACTAGCCTGACCCTGAACTCTGAGATCTACCTTTCTCTGTCTCCAGAGTGCATGTTCAAACAAGCCCAGCAAAAACATGAGCTGTAAAAATGCCTTACTTCTACAGAGGGTGGCGCTACCCGCCTTTAATCCCAGCACTCAGGAGGCAGAGGCAGGTGAATCTCTTATGAGTTCAAACCAGCGTGGTCTACAGACTGAGTTCCAGGGCAGCCAAGGCTACACAGAGAAACCTTGTCTCAAAGACCCCCCTGCCTCTCCCCAAATCTTGCTTCGGTAACAGCACTGACAAATAGTAAGATGTATCTAAATACCTCCTGTTCTACAAGCGCAAGGTTAAGGCACTTTTCGTCAAGAAATTAAGCTGTAACAAAACAAAGTAACAATTCTGAAGCTGTGTACTAAGACAAAGTTTGTTTGTTTTTTTTTTTTTTTTTCTCTCTAGATAGTATCTCAGAGGATTGAACTGGAATAAAAGACCACTGGGCGGCCAAAGAGGCTATAAAGATGGAGGCAGGAAGATCAACTGTTCCAAGGTCAGCCTCAGCCACTTGGACTTTTTAGTGTGAACATAAAAACAGGTCTTATCCTAAAGGAAATAAAGAAATGGTTTATCCTGGAGCCCTTTTGATCCATGGCCCGGAGAACACAAATTTAGGTTACTCCAAATTCCATGAAAGAAGAGAGCTGTGTTTTTTTGTTGTTGTTTGTTTTTTGGTCTTTCGAGAGAGGGTTTCTCTGTGGCTTTGGAGCCTGTCCTGGAACTCGCTCTGTAGACCAGGCTGGCTTCGAAATCACAGAGATCCGCCAGACCCTGCCTCCCCGCGTGCGCCACCACCGCCCGGCCGAGAGCTGTGTTTTTTACATTGACAAACGCATAGTGTAATAAACAAGACCTTGTCCCCACCACCACCACTATGTAAGGGAACCATTTGGGATTAGACTCCCTGGTGTAATGAAGTCGCCGGCGTAATTTGTCTTCACCCTACATCTATTTTTGGAGCCAGGGATTTTCCAGATTACTACAAACCCGGCGAGGTGAGGTCAGGGCCAGCACACGTTTCCACGGCTACACCCCGACACCCACGCGCGCTCGGCGCTTCCCGGAACCCGGCGCGCTTCACCTCCCTTATTTCTGAAACTGTCAAGCAGCCAAGTTCAGAGTCATTTTACACACCGCTGAC